CTACTAAAAAGGTGACACGTCACACCGTCCTTGCTATCGATCTAACGTTGGCGAACGTATTTTAAAATAAAACGGCGACCGGCAACCCAGTTCACTGCCAATGTCAGATAAATACGCGCGACTCGGATACACATCTGCCTTGTCCGCCTAATGAGGCGAAAACCGCATTCTCTTTCTCTCTCTCGGAAGCGGACGCGACCCGCGTTTGATCCGTTTACGGCGGAAACGGTGTCGCTAGAAAACGATCGCGGTTTGGCCTCCCATAGGAGAAAGCAATCGGAGAGAGCGCGCGAGAGATGGAGGCAGAAGAGGTCGATCCTACGGACTGCGCCAGTTTATAGCTCCTCGCGTTCCATCAGCGTCTCGGCGACTTAAAAATATTCCAATCTGTTACAAAGAGACTTAACGTCGTGCCGAATGAAAATCTTTTTCCCCGACGGAGCGACGCAGTTTGAATTTTCCAACTTTCCGCATATAAAATTACGAAACTTCGCGACAATAGAGAAAATTTTCGAAGCGGAGATGGAAGCCTTCCCCCTTCGTCGTATTATTTCCCTCCGGAAAATGACAGGCCCGAATTGTATACGGACGTTTCACTAATTTAACGAAATCCGAATGATTCCCGAAAACGCGATAACTCATCCATCTCCCCACGACGCGGTTTTATTAAAAATACGCATGGCGGGTCTCCTCTCGCGTCCCCGGAAACGGAATTACCGCGCAAAAATGCGTATTATAATCCCTTCGGCGTAATTAATCACCGAAGGCAATTAGGTCTCCTTTTGCTCGAGTCGCTCAATTCCGGACAACATCAATCTTACGTTTAGAAAAAAAAATTACGTAATTCGGGCCGACGGTTATCCCGAGCGCGGTTTCAAATCAGAAGCGGGAACAAAAACGAGCCGTCGTCGGCGTTTTGAAATATTCATGAACCGCGATTCGGATGGAAAATGAAAAAGTCAGCTATTACATGCAAATGAGCGGCCCTCCCGCCCCCTATTCGGTTGGATTTCGTTACGTCAATTTTGGGATAGAATAAGAAAACGTCGAAATCACTCTATGGGACATTTTGACATCGTCCGTTATCATTCTTACGTGGTCCCTTCTGCGTTCTCCGTATCTTATAATTATATTAGTCTAATCCTCTCCGCACTGCGCATCATTTCGTATAGTTATATATTCCAATTCGGTCGCGGACGCGGTGTCAGATATTGTCGAGCGAAGATAATCTTTTAAGCGTCTTACCTATCTTCTTTGATCCCCTCTCCGGGTACCAGAAATCTTCTTCTAACTTTATGAGCAAAAAAAAAGTGTTTCTACACGCGGAACTTACCACCTTTCAATGAGGAGCCTCGCAGCAGAACAGCTTTGTGTGACCAATTTCGGTTCTAATCCCCTCTTCCGGAATGCCAATTTTCGTTTGGTCTAGCCCAAGAGTGCGATTGGCAAAACAGTTGATAACCGATGATTTTTGGGCTGGATGATGATGTGACCATGCATTAAGGTAGGGCGTCTAGAATTTAAATGACTAAGAAAATCTACTAGGGATTCGTGACCATGAGACAAAAGTATCATCGACGTAGCGTTTTAGATGGAAGGTGTCGAGAACTTTCTTCTCAAAGGCATCGATAACTATATATTTGCGATGACTGGTGTGATAGTGGAGAAGGACCCATAGCTGTCCCGACCTTTGTTCAAAAGCTCTGAAGATGCCAACAGGACGATTGGCGAAACGTTAGCTAGTTCGACTCAACAAAAACAGACGTAGGAGGAATCCGGAAGTTTTATAAAAAGTATTACAGTAGCCTCTGGAACAACCTTATCAAAGAAAGTATCGACCTCTGTACCTTTTTCCATTACTATTTTTTTTTTGACAGGTCAATTCCCTTTCAATATAGCAAAATGAAATCTGCTCCGCGAACTGCAGAACGAAATTCCATGGTCGCAATTCACCCATTAAAGAGTCGTCAACCACAAGCTGCATCGGTGGGACACCGGCGTCCGTCAAGGACGACCGGTAGTTCTCCGTGGTTCGTTTTCTTTTAGCACGAACGAAGAAAATCCAACACATCCCGATCGCCGCCCGGTGCGCTGACAATTAGACCGTACGCCGCGGCCCGTCATTGTTTCGGTATTTTTAGACAGACTGGTAACGCAACTGGTATTTATCCGAAGCAATAACCGACCGCCGTTTTCTTCCGAACAAGTTTACATACGAAGAGTGGCTGTGATATAAACGAGTTCTTTTATTTTTTAAGGATGAATCGAGAAGAAACCGAGTAATATTTTGATAATCGATGTTTTTTTACAGCTGTCGGCGTTTCTCGCATCCTAGCTTCCAACGCTTGCGATCATTGCAGTCATGTGCTTGTAGTCCTCTATTCTCCATTGCGCAGTTTACTTCTTGCTTCCATGATTTACTTGGTCTACCTCTCTTTCTGCGATTGGTGGGGATCCATTGTAACAGTCGTTTTGGTCATCGCTGATCATTCATTCTTTCGACGTGGCCATACCATTTCAAGCTTTTACATTCTATAGTTTCCAGAATGCCAATATCTACACCCATTTGCTCTCTGATTTTAGTATTTCCCACCATGTCCCTTCTAGTTAGGTGGCAGTATCTGCATGAACAATTCACTTCCATAGCTTTTATTTTGGAGGCGTCTTTTTTATTTATTACCCAAAGCTCTGAGAGATATGTTTCAATACTTTCAATGATGCTTTTATATATTCTAATTTCTGTGTTTCTAGTGGTGTTTATTCCAGAGAGTATTGTTTAGTTAGCGTATTGCCATATTACTTTGTGCAATTCTAGTTGCTATTTCCTAGGTATTTTGGCCATCATTGGTTATTCGTACACCAAGGTATTCGTAACTATCAGCATTTTTAATTTGTGAGCCTCTTAATTCTAAATAACATTTCCCTCCACTACATTAATTGTTAAACCCCACATGCTATATTCTTCTTCTTCTGCAAATATTACTTGGTCATCTGCAAAATGAAGGCTATATAACTTTCGAATACCCATCGATTCACATTTTCTTTTCCAGATTACAAAGGCCCCCTCCAAATAGATCTTAAAGAGTGTAGGTGCAATGCAGCAGCCTCGTCGAAGTCCTTTGGTCACCTTTATTTTTCTGGTTACTTTTTGCCCAATCTTTATTAGACTCGTCATATGGTCGTATCACACCTTCACTGCATTAATGTATATTAGTGCAATTGTCTTGTCTTTCTTGCAACAGCTTAGTTAATGGGACGCTATGGTACGCTTTCTAAAGATCAATAAATACCATATGTGTCTTCATATTGCATTCCAAACGCTTTTCTAATGTTTGTTTTAGGCTAAACACGTTGTCTACAAGAATGCCCAGCACGCTTAGCCGTTTTGATTTTCAGCGTCCTCCCAATAATCTTCCCATATAACCTACAAATTGAGTTGATTATATTCAGCCCCCGGTAATTTGTACACTCCTTTGTGTCACTTGTATTCTTGAATATATTGCTGATGTATGTATAGGACTACATAATGATAATGACGATAGTAAGGGCTGATAAAGTAGAGCGAGCCAGCTGAATAACTAAGTGGGCAAAGAGAAGACAAATTCTATGCCCATTGCAGAATACAAGTATAGAATCTCTGGCAGGGTTTGTATACGACAAAACACTGTGCTCGAAAAAGGAGGACACTCCAATTCATCTCCTAACCTGCTTTCCACGTTTGAGAGGCAAAATAATTCCCTTAACAGATAATTTGTCTGATCTATCAGGCCATGTTGAGGGCAGTGAGAAGGCTGAAAGCTTGAAAGGATAAACTGGTTCGCATCTGGACTGAAACTGTCCACTGGACTAGTAGCTAGAAGACTGGGGAGCGAGCTGAATAACTTGGTGGACAAATAGGGGTATAACAACACGCTGGTAAGAGTAAGTAAGAGGGGTGGTCGACAACAGCACACAGGCTATGTACAGAAAAAAAGGAAAATCCACTTCATCTCTTAACCTGATGTCCACCATTTGGAAGCAGACGATGAAGGGTACTACGAGATCAACTCAATCAGTATGAAGAAAAATTATCCAACCTTACCGAGAGAGCTAAATAAAGGTAGACAAATAGGAGATATTTCTCTAATTAACCAACAAGCAAGCAGGAGTTGTGGATGACAACACACATAGCCGGTATTCAAAAAAGGAGGAACCTCTAACTCATTTTTTAACCAGCATTGGGAAGCAGACGACTAAAAGTACTGGGAGGCCCATTTATTTAGCCCGAACAATGATCCAATCTTTAAAAGAAAACATGGACCATCCAAGGCAAAACACTTTGTGCCGCAAGGAAACGTTCAGATTACAATCCACCAAGCAATATAATAAAAATAGAATATTAATAGAGTAAGTATCTCTCGTCTCAGCATAAAGTGGTTAAAGCGTCCGTATTTCTTTATAAAGAAATCTATAGACTAGGCAGTTAAGTGTCCAGTTTTCCAGATTTACGACGGTACTAGAGGGCGAAAATCAAATAAAGCAAATCAACGTTAACGGTCTTGAACGCGGGAGTCGAGACTTACCCTCCGCTAACGATTTATATACAAAATTTGTCGTCCTATAAGAAGCCGACAACCATCTTCTGGACTTAACTCGTCCACAAATCTGATCGCGTTTCGAGCGAAACGACGTCAAACTTTTAAATCACCGATCTCATAATAAGACGACTCGGTGGTAGAGGCGTAATCTATATTTATGAAGGGCGCGATTAATACACCTGGGTAAACGAAATTACGTCCCCGCAGGCTGTCACTCAAAACGACTTTTTGTTTAATTCCGCATTACCCGGATGTCGCCTCCGACAAAGCGACGTGAACGAAAACTAACTACTTTATAATTCAATTACGCTCGCTTCGAACGAAAATATCCTACCGGACTGCGCCACGTATAGACTATTTTTTAAAGATATTTTTATTATATTTATTATATTTTTATTAATTAATGTGGGCGCGTGTACTTACATAGGCGTCCAAACGAATGCGACAGCCTTTTCCGGAGCTTCTGCATCCTGGACAGTGCGCCGCTTTTCTTCTCGCGCATGGTGACGCCGGCGCAGGTCGGCAGCCCCGGAACTCCTACAACAACGAGAAAAGTTGCATTGAAAAACTCGCCAAGAGAGTATTTTCAAAATATTTGATTTTCGACGATAAGCTAAACGAACGCGCCAACAAACGATCGCAAAAAATAAATAAATACGTAATAAATAGTTTAAATATTTGAACGTGTCGAATTAATTCTGCGGTCTCGCTTATTAAATAACGCTTGTTTGCATATAGTAAACAATACCAATTAGAATGCGTCTCGATATTCCTGCTGTCGATAAAATTAACTGTTTGCGGCGGAGCGCATAATCGTGGCAGGATGTTATTTTCTAAACATTTACGTAACTAAAACGTTGTAATTATTCAAAGGTATAAATAAATTTAAATATATTCCGCCGCAAAAACGCACGAGAAATAGGAAAAAAACCAACGTGAAATTAAAGAACAAAACTTGGAATGCAAAGCAGTGTAAAAATCAAAAAGAGGAATAAGAAACAAGAAAGAGCGATGCAAGTAGGGCGAACAAGCAGAAAAACATATAACATTACGAATTACGAAGCAAAATAAAACAAAACGTGAAAAAAACGAAAAACACAAATCTATTCTAAATTGTTCTAGGAATTCTTCGAAAATACCAAAAGTAAAGAAGAAAAACATTTTAAAAATACATATTTCTGTCTTCAACTTTAAGTTTTGACGATTTTTACATTTCTATGCCCATCCCAAAGAACTGAAAAAGTAGTGGCGTCATGTAAAAAGCAGTTCAACCGGAAAGAGCCGGTTTTTATTAACTAATATTTTTATTTCTAGCTTCCCAGAAATCGCCATATTTCTTTAACGCTCCCGCGGTCGACCACTCACGCGTTATTCATAGTTAAAACGTATTAGCCGTGTCTCAATTGAAGGCAATTAAAAATAACTCTTCGCCCGCGCGGACCGCGAAAGGTCCCGCGCGTGTGGGCGGAGCTTAGAACAACGCAATGACTAAACTTCCCACCGTAATTCCGATAGTTGGCCAAAGCCACTGACCACTATTAAATTCCTCGAATATAGTCAAGACGCATTCTCGTTTTACGATTTTATAATAGATAAACTCTAGAGTTTGTTTTCCTATCGTTCAATGTATAAAAACTTGCACAAAAATAATATTTGTTTTTACTTATAAGTAAATAAATAAATAAATAAATTCCCAGTTAGTATTATGGAGACGCAACACGGATGTACTCACCTGCAGTATAGAATGCGTTCTCCAATAGAACTTGTCTTATTACCTTACAAAATTTAGTGAATGACAGATCCTTGACAACGGTTGGCAGAACATTGTAGTAATTAATGTACAATTTATTTAACTCGGATGTGCGCAGCCTAGAATGGCCCTGGACAATTAATTCAGATCCCCTGGTGTAGTGATTGTGGCGATCACAGTGCTTAGGCATATCGTTCTTTAGCTCATGTATGAGGGTGACTGTATAGTAAATAAATAGTGATGGTAAGGTCAAAATATTAAGCTTTGAGAAGAGCGGGCGGCAGTGATCACATTCGCATTCGCAATCACACGTATCGCTCTTTTTTGCATAAGAAAAGCCTTGCGGGCATGCACGGCACCACCCCACAAAACAATAGCGTACGCTAAATGAGAATGGAACAATCCGAAATAAGCAAGTCTTGACATGATAGGAATGAGTGACTTGTTTAAGTATTTAATTAGAAACAATTGACTTGACAGTTTGTGGCAAAGGTGTTCAATGCGATCCTTCCAAGAAAGAGTACGATCGATCCAGACTCCAAGTACCTTAACCGGAGCATTGTTAAAATTGTGCACCTTGCTACAAGAGAAAATAAGATTGTTCGTTTTATGTTCGTTTAACTGTAAGGAGTTCGACCCGAACCATCCACGCGCTCTAGTCTTATTGGCCAAGAATTGTATCATCCGCGTAAAGCGTAGTTTTACATGGTATGTGAGAAGGCAAATCGTTGATGTAAACTATAAACAGCAGGAGCCCGAGCACTGAGCCCTGCGGCACTCCAAACGATACCGGCAAGCTAGAATTACTGAATTTTCCATTCACCTCGACACATTGAAGTCTACCGCTAAGGTAAGAGCGCAAATGAGGCATGCCCCTGATGCCATACCACTCGAGCTTCTGCACCAGCACTCCATGATTCACACAATCAAAAGCCTTCGTGAGATCGCAAAAGGTGGCCTCCGCTATCTCACCAGCGTCAAAGCCTTCGACAATGCTCCCCACAAGACTTAGCAAAGCATGCGTGGTGGACCTTCCGCCCCTAAACCCGAACTGTTCTTTGCACAAAAGTTTGTGTTTTTCAAAATAACTCAGCAAACTCTCTTTTAAGATTATTTCAACGATCTTACCCATTATAGGGATGATTGCAATAGGTCTATAGTTTGGGGGACGTTGGTATCTCCCTTCTTGTGTAGTGGCACAATCCTGCTTATTTTTAACTGTTCTGGAAATATTCCAGTTTCAAACATCTGGTTAATTAGATGCGCTATGGGGTCAACTAAAAAAGTTGAGGTATGTTTAAGAATTTTTGAATTTAGGTTGTAGACGTCTAAAGAATTAGAATTACTCAAATGTAGAATTGTGCTATAGACTAATTCACTGGAAACCGGATCCAGAAAAAACGACCTCGTGGGACTTGATTGCCTTCTCATATAGAGCATTGGATCATTTATTTTTTTTTATTTCGGCAGTAATGCTCGATGCCACCTGAGAAAAATATAAGATGAAATTATAACATTAATAATAATAAGCGAGTCAACCGGTCTTTACTTCAGCTTTTGTTTAAGACGAACAAATGCATATAAAAATAGTTGAAGCTATCGGACTTGTAACATAACTAATAACAGGCAAGGGGACAAGGACAAGATAAATGGGAGTAAAGCACACATTTGTCTAACACTAATTTAGAAATTGGAAAATAATATAAACAAAATAAGTTGAAACTAAATATTTTCAAAGTTGTTTATGATGCTAACAACACTTTTTACAAAACTTTTGGATTCTTCCTTCGTCGGTTTCTGTTGAGTCGAACTATAGCTAACGTTTCGCAATCATCCTGTTGGCTGCTTCAGAGCTTGACTGCAACTGGCTCGCATTTTACTCTGTACGTACTAAATGAGTGGCATATACACCGTCTCGGACGACTGATTCCCATATTTGTGACAGGTAAATACCAAAGTCGCGGTTAAGATTGTTAAGTTGCTTACAGATTTCTATAGAGGTATTTTTTATTGGTAATTGATTACATGCAAGAATTTTAGTTTTATAGAATAAAATTTTATGTCCGATTTCGTGATCATGTTCGGCCCTGGTGATGAGTTTATTTGTCTTAATCTTAATGCTCTTCAATGTTGTTTGAGCCTAGTTGATATTTTTCGTTCGGTCTCCCCAATGTATTCTTTGCCGCATATGCATGGAATACTGTAAACTCCTGGCATCTCAAATGGAATTTTGTCTTTGAGAGATTTTTGGACAAGTTTTAAATTGTGATGTGTTTTGACTACCATTCCATATTAAAATGCGAGAATCTGAAACCAAACCTCACCTTAATTGAAAAATGCTTGCCTGGAACATAATTTTTTATAACTTTCAAATTTTTCAACAAAGGTCGGGAAGAGCTATGCGTTCTTCAGCACTATCACCAGTCATCGCGAATATATTTATCGAAGCCTTTCAGAAGAAAGTTCTGGACACCTTCCATCTAAAACCAAAATTATGGAAACGCTACGTTGATGATACTTTTATTATTTGGCCTCATGGTCACGAATCCCTAGTAGATAGTGCACTTCCTCTCCAAGATACTTAGAGGTTTCTTTTCATGGATTTTATTCTTTCCCTTCCATAAATCAAACGCGAATTATTCTACTACCAGATAAATACAACTGAATAATGAAAGTATTCTAAAAACATAGCTATGAAATCCAAAAAAGGGTTTTCGGAGATACGCCTGTGGAGGAGTTATCCTTCCCGTCTGGCTGGCCCACCCTGTATAAACATTATAAAACATAAGACATTACTTTATTGACAAACTGATAAAATGAATAACAACAGTCATGTCTCTTTCTCGTGAGTATATATCTGTGTTCGAAACAGATTATTCGACTTTAGTCGCCTTGGCTAAAGTCGATTATGTTCCGGAAACAAAACATCGATTGTCGGGTATTTTTCGAAACTTTCGAGACGTGGATTTCGAACCGCTGCAGACGACGTTGTTCAGTCGAGGACAATTGAGACGTATGCATGGGGCGGCGGGGATGAAATCCAGTCGATATAAAATGCTGAACAATCTCGACAATGTGGGTCAGCGCAAAGCACGTCATTCAGAAAAGTCATCCAACGAACATTTAAAACACTTTTATTGTTTGTACATTGATTTCAATGCAAAATTCTTGCATCCAGCTATGTGGTCCCCTCATTTCCTTTTATTTGGTCGAGCATATTCAAAAGCTTTTCTTGGCTATCTACTTTCCTCCATTCGTTTAACATGCACATACCATACAAGTTGTCTTGTTTCAATTCGTTCGGTTGTTCTGTGTATTCGATTTGTACGGCGTCTAATCTCGCCATTTGATATGCGTTCTAACCTAGATATGCAATATGATATCCTGAGAAAATTCATTTCTACAGGATCCGATTTTCCTCCTCGTTTATTCCTTTCGCTGCCAACATTCTGATCCGTATGTCATTTTGGTTCTACGATTGCTCTGTATATTGTCAATTTTATTTTTATAGATATTTGATGATTGATGATGACTGATGATGAACCTTTGCTAGATCTAATACTATCAAGGTATTTATACTCTTCGCATTGTGTATTCGATTTGTACGGCGTCTAATCTCGTCATTTGGTCTATGTTCTAACCTAGATATGCGATAGGATCTTCTGACAAAATCCATTTCTACAGCATCTCGTCGTTGATACGATTGCTCTGTATATTGTCAATTTTGTTTTTATAGATATTTAATTGGACCAAAGTAAAGGATTCAAACCTCGTACACTCCTCTGAA